AGATCGGACCATAGCCTGAGATCGGACCATAGCCTGAGATCGGACCATAGCCTGAGATCGGACCATAGCCTGAGATCGGACCATAGCCTGAGATCGGACCATAGCCTGAGATCGGACCATAGCCTGAGATCGGACCATAGACATGGATCGGGCCATAGACATGGATCGGGCCATAGACATGGATCGGACCATAGACATAGATAGGACCATAGACATAGATAGGACCATAGACATAGATAGGACCATAGACAAGGATAGGGCCATAGACAAGGATAGGGCCATAGACATAGATAGGGCCATAGACATAGATAGGACCATAACAATAGATAGGACCATAGCAATAGATAGGACCATAGCAATAGATAGGACCATAGCAATAGATAGGACCATAGCAATAGATAGGACCATAGCAATAGATAGGACCATAGCAATAGATAGGACCATAGCCATAGATAGGACCATGGCCATAGATAGGACCATAGCCATAGATAGGACCATAGCAATAGATAGGACCATAGCAATAGATAGGACCATAGCAATAGATAGGACCATAGCCATAGATAGGACCATAGCAATAGATAGGACCATAGCCATAGATAGGACCATAGCAATAGATAGGACCATGGCCATAGATAGGACCATGGCCTTAGATAGGACCATGGCCTTAGATAGGATCATGGCCTTAGATAGGACCATGGCCTTAGATAGGACCATGGCCTTAGATAGGACCATAGCCATAGATAGGACCATAGCCATAGATAGGACCATAGCAATAGATAGGACCATAGCCATAGATAGGACCATAGCAATAGATAGGACCATAGCCTTAGATAGGACCATGGCCATAGATAGGACCATGGCCTTAGATAGGACCATGGCCATAGATAGGACCATAGACATGGATAGGCTTCTAGGGAAGCTCTCGGAGCAGCAGCATGTCTCCATATTCTTCCACCATAGCCCACCAAATTGGCTCCTTCTTCCCGCAGCTCCAGGTCGCTGGTGTCATGAGTGAGGTGACCGCTGTGACTCTGGAGACAAAACCTCGAAGACCGAATCGGAGGAATATCCTACATGACCTGACTGAAGACTACCACGGCGGGAAGGTAACCACACTGGCCATAGAGAGGAGGGCACTGAGTAAGGGGGCCATCCCCAATCCTCTTCTTCCATCATATTTGTGGAGTTCCATCCTATAGGAAGCCTCATTCTACTACCAGTGTCCTGGTGTGCTCATGTTACACGGATATATGAGGGAGAGATAAACCTCAACAAGCACTCAGAAAGGGAACTGCTGTAGTCCAAGGCACATCTGGAGGAAATATTTGCAGCAGCTGAGTCAGGATCGGCGTCTGGCGCCTCATACCTGCTCCGTGTCTGAGGAATTTATGGCCAATGGGAAACTAAGTTTGCAGTATGCAGTATTATATGTCGCCTGTTTCTTAAAGCGACTTTGGTCAGCAGTTAGCTATCTTTATTACAGGAGGGGGCGGAGACAAGACCAGTCACCCTGCACAAGGAGAGATATCAGCAGTGACTGGTCTTTATTACAGGAGGGGGCGCAGATAAGACCAGTCACCCTGCACAAGGAGAGAGATCAGCAGTGACCGGTCTTTATTACGGGAGTGGGCATAGACAAGACCAGTCACCCTGCACAAGAAGAGAGATCAGCAGTGACCGGTCTTTATTACGGGAGTGGGCATAGACAAGACCAGTCACCCTGCACAAGGAGAGAGATCAGCAGTGACTGGTCTTTATTACAGGAGGGGGCGCAGATAAGACCAGTCACCCTGCACAAGGAGAGAGATCAGCAGTGACTGGTCTTTATTACAGGAGGGGGCGCAGATAAGACCAGTCACCCTGCACAAGGAGAGAGATCAGCAGTGACTGGTCTTTATTACAGGAGGGGGCGGAGACAAGACCAGTCCCCCTGCACAAGAAGAGAGAGCAGCAGTGAGCGGTCTTTATTACAGGAAGCTGCACGTGTCACTCTGGATTACTGCACAGATCTGGAAGAATGACACAAAGCTCACCCGAGATTCAGGACGGATACACATGGAACTTGTATTTAGATGGTATTTGCTTATCCCGGAGTTCAGCTTTAAACGTGACAGGGAATGAAGAGCAGTTTCCCCCCGGAGTAATGCTAAATCCCATTTTTGTCTCCTCGGATCAGGCGCACGGATTGTGGACCGGCGCTGACGCCCGAGATCTGCACATGTTACTACACGGCGAGCTATTCCTTAATGTGGCCACAAAGGATTTCCAGGACGGAGAAGTGAGGGGACGGATCACACCATTACCTTTCAGTGGGCTGTGGGCCAGGCACGAGGGTGAGTGGCCGGCATCAGTGTACATCATACCAGGTTCTCTGCACCATATCAAAGGGTCCTACGTGTGCCAAGTACGGCAGTGGTCGATTTAAAGGGGAATCAGCGGGTGGGCAAGGCATAAGCTAGGGGGGGCAATTGCCCCCCCCCTTGCCCCCCTGTAGAGACGCCTATGCCTGCACCATCAGCTGCTTACTGACTAGTACAGGAGGGGGCAGAGACAAGACCAGTCACCTTGCACAAGTAGAGATCAGAAGTGACTGGTCTTTATTACAGGAGGGGGGCGGAGACAAGACCAGTCACCCTGCAAAAGGAGAGAGAGCAGCAGTGATGGTCTTTATTACAGGAGGGGGCGAAGACAAGACCACTCACCCTACACAAGTAGAGATCAGAAGTGACTGGTCTTTATTACAGAAGGGGGCCCAGACAAGACCAGTCACTCTTTCTGTCCCACTTCTCCTGATAACATTCGCACTGTCCTGCTCGCCATGTTGCACATCTGTCTGTTTTCTGCAGAGTTTCCGATACCGCTGGCCGGCCGGTTTGTGTCGCCGTCTCTGATGACGGGCTCGGCGGGTCATGCCTGGGTGTCGCTGGACGAGCACTGCCATCTGCAGTATCAGATTGTGGTGACGGGACTGGGACGTGCAGAGGACGCAGCGCTGAACGCTCATCTGCACGGCTTTGCTGAGCTGGGGGAAGTCGGTGACGGCACACATGAGCAGAAGAAGGTGCTGAAAGGCTTCTACGGGTCTGAGGTGAGTGGAGGACAGTGAGACTGGAGGTCAGTGAGTGAAGGCAGGCGATGGGAAGGCCAGGAAGTGCAGGTTTATGATGAGATTGGAGCCAGGGGGTGGAGGTTGGTAGGTAGGGTAGTGTGTGGAGTCTGGTAATGGGTGGGAAGTGAATGGAGGTCTGTAATGGGAGAGCAGTGAGTGGAGGTTGGTAATCGTAGGACAGTGAGTGGAGGTTGGAAATAGGAGGGCAGTGAGTGGAGGTTGGTAATAGGAGGGCAGTGAGTGGAGGTTGGTTATGGGAGTGCAGTAGGTGGAAGGTGGTAATGGGAGGGCAGTATGGGGGCAGTAGGTGGAGGTTGGTAATGGGAGTGCAGTAGGTGGAAGGTGGTAATGGGAGTGCAGTAGGTGGAAGGTGGTAATGGGGGGGCACTAGGTGGAAGGTGGTAATGGGAGTGCAGTAGGTGGAGGTTGGTAATGGGAGTGCAGTAGGTGGAGGTTGGTAATGGGAGAGCAGTAGGTGGAAGGTGGTAATGGGAGTGCAGTAGGTGGAAGGTGGTAATGGGAGGGTAGTAGGTGGAAGGTGGTAATGGGAGTGCAGTAGGTGGAAGGTGGTAATGGGAGGGCAGTAGGAAGAAGGTGGTAATGGGGGGGGGGGGCACTAGGTGGAAGGTGGTAATGGGAGGGCAGTAGGAAGAAGGTGGTAATGGGGGGGGGGGGCACTAGGTGGAAGGTGGTAATGGGAGGGCAGTAGGAAGAAGGTGGTAATGGGGGGGGGGGGCACTAGGTGGAAGGTGGTAATGGGAGGGCAGTAGGAAGAAGGTGGTAATGGGGGGGGGGGGCACTAGGTGGAAGGTGGTAATGGGAGGGCAGTAGGAAGAAGGTGGTAATGGGGGGGGGGGGCACTAGGTGGAAGGTGGTAATGGGAGGGCAGTAGGAAGAAGGTGGTAATGGGGGGGGGGGGCACTAGGTGGAAGGTGGTAATGGGAGGGCAGTAGGAAGAAGGTGGTAATGGGGGGGGGGGGCACTAGGTGGAAGGTGGTAATGGGAGGGCAGTAGGAAGAAGGTGGTAATGGGGGGGGGGGGCACTAGGTGGAAGGTGGTAATGGGAGGGCAGTAGGAAGAAGGTGGTAATGGGGGGGGGGGGCACTAGGTGGAAGGTGGTAATGGGAGGGCAGTAGGAAGAAGGTGGTAATGGGGGGGGGGGGCACTAGGTGGAAGGTGGTAATGGGAGGGCAGTAGGAAGAAGGTGGTAATGGGGGGGGGGGGCACTAGGTGGAAGGTGGTAATGGGAGGGCAGTAGGAAGAAGGTGGTAATGGGGGGGGGGGGCACTAGGTGGAAGGTGGTAATGGGAGGGCAGTAGGAAGAAGGTGGTAATGGGGGGGGGGGGCACTAGGTGGAAGGTGGTAATGGGAGGGCAGTAGGAAGAAGGTGGTAATGGGGGGGGGGGGCACTAGGTGGAAGGTGGTAATGGGAGGGCAGTAGGAAGAAGGTGGTAATGGGGGGGGGGGGCACTAGGTGGAAGGTGGTAATGGGAGGGCAGTAGGAAGAAGGTGGTAATGGGGGGGGGGGGCACTAGGTGGAAGGTGGTAATGGGAGGGCAGTAGGAAGAAGGTGGTAATGGGGGGGGGGGGCACTAGGTGGAAGGTGGTAATGGGAGGGCAGTAGGAAGAAGGTGGTAATGGGGGGGGGGGGCACTAGGTGGAAGGTGGTAATGGGAGGGCAGTAGGAAGAAGGTGGTAATGGGGGGGGGGGGCACTAGGTGGAAGGTGGTAATGGGAGGGCAGTAGGAAGAAGGTGGTAATGGGGGGGGGGGGCACTAGGTGGAAGGTGGTAATGGGAGGGCAGTAGGAAGAAGGTGGTAATGGGGGGGGGGGGCACTAGGTGGAAGGTGGTAATGGGAGGGCAGTAGGAAGAAGGTGGTAATGGGGGGGGGGGGCACTAGGTGGAAGGTGGTAATGGGAGGGCAGTAGGAAGAAGGTGGTAATGGGGGGGGGGGGCACTAGGTGGAAGGTGGTAATGGGAGGGCAGTAGGAAGAAGGTGGTAATGGGGGGGGGGGGCACTAGGTGGAAGGTGGTAATGGGAGGGCAGTAGGAAGAAGGTGGTAATGGGGGGGGGGGGCACTAGGTGGAAGGTGGTAATGGGAGGGCAGTAGGAAGAAGGTGGTAATGGGGGGGGGGGGCACTAGGTGGAAGGTGGTAATGGAAGGGCAGTGAATGGAGGCCAGTAATCAGAGGGCTGTGAAGCAAATGTTTAGGATTCTCTGTTTCTGGTTGTTGAGCACTGAAGGCGGCTGACACGAGCGGATTCATCTTTTGGATAGCTGTGATCAGCCTTCTCAAGTGTTAGGCTGTGTCGGTCGGATGTATTTATGTGTCACGGTTTGTTACCTGTAAATACAGTGTGTGTGATTTTGGGGCGACCATTGCAGTAAAAGCTCCTCAAATCCACAGAAGTGACATTGTAAGCACACAATCTGCATTCACCGTGTCTGTGTGTACAATCTGCATTCACCGTGTCTGTGTGTACAATCTGCATTCACCGTGTCTGTGTGTACAATCTGCATTCACCGTGTCTGTGTGTACAATCTGCATTCACCGTGTCTGTGTGTACAATCTGCATTCACCGCGTGTGTGTACAATCTGCATTCACCGCGTGTGTGTACAATCTGCATTCACCGCGTGTGTGTACAATCTGCATTCACCGCGTGTGTGTACAATCTGCATTCACCGTGTGTCTGTGTGTACAATCTGCATTCACTGTGTGTCTGTACAATCTGCATTCACCGCGTGTGTGTACAATGTGCATTCACCGTGTGTCTGTGTGTACAATCTGCATTCACTGTGTGTCTGTACAATCTGCATTCACCGCGTGTGTGTACAATGTGCATTCACCGTGTGTCTGTGTGTACAATCTGCATTCACCATGTCTGTGTGTACAATGTGCATTCACTGTGTGTGTGTGTACAATGTGCATTCACCGTGTGTGTGTACAATCTGCATTCACCATGTGTGTGTACAATCTGCATTCACCATGTGTGTGTACAATCTGCATTCACCATGTGTGTGTACAATCTGCATTCACCGTGTCTGTGTGTACAATGTGCATTCACCGTGTCTGTGTGTACAATCTGCATTCACCGTGTGTACAATGTGCCGCCATACAAAGCAAGGCAGGAAAATGTGGCCCTGGACTAGTCCGTTCACATTTCAGCCTCTGACTCTTCCCGACATTGATATTCTTCAGTCTCCTCCTTGCACAGGCTCAGGGAAGTGTGAAGGACCTGGACACGGAACTCTTCCGTCACCTGAACCGCGGCGCGGCCTTCATCCAAGTCAGCACCAAGCTGAACCCCCGTGGTGAGATCCGGGGTCAGGTGAGTACACTTTGGCATTTGTTGGCATTTCTATGGCCATTACAGGGACAGCGGCTGAATATAACGCGTCCTCGGTCCTGTTTAGGTCCATATTCCGAACAGTTGTGAATCGGGAGGAACTTCGCCGTCCCCTGGCAACTCGCGGGAAGCGGCCGACAAGAGCAGCCAGCGTCACCCAGACGAACTTCGTAGAGATCCCAGATCTTGTCATTTTGAAGGAAAACTGAGGGCCCACGGCAGTCGCTGGGCCCCTGACTATGACCGGAAGTGCTCCGTGTGCAGCTGTCAGGTACGGCGCTGTGTACAATGTAATGAGCCGCGCTGGGCGCCCCGGGCCACACTACATCCCTGGTGCCCGGAGGGTCACATGCGGCCCTCAGACCCCCCTGCTGTTCATCACTGTTCTCCATGTGGAAAAAGTCATTCTTAAAGTGAATCTTCACTCAAAGATAAGACTTGGCATCATCCCC